CCATTGGTCCAAACTATAGTAACACAACGTCCGGATTCAAGTCGAATACGCTGTGCTGATATGGAAAAATGAATCCCTTCAGAATTTAAGGACATGGGCAATACATGCATTCGTAAAGTAAAATCGATTAACCGTTTAATTGCTAAGGGTAAGAGATGTGTTCACAGATGGACCGTTAGTCGACGTCATGTGATCGATCCCTGTCAGATGGAACTGAACTTACCCGAGATGTTAATAAGTGCTCCGAAACTGATCACCCGAAAACCATTGCACATCTCGGAAAAACCCAAAATCAATGGACATAGAATTAGGTTCCAAACTGATGAAGTCCAAGACTACCGATTTCCAATGAAACTAGCCCAAATACCAGCTGCCGCCACAATTCGACAAAAGCAGCGCATTAACTCGCACACGAGTGTTCCCATGTCGAGTTAGCACGGACATTAACTGCTTCAACTTGGACCGTCCGACGCCACACACAGTCATGGTAGGTTAGTTAGAAAGGTCAAAGTAAGTCAGTCTTACGCATTGGCCAACGACCTAATGAGTTTAAATGCGATCATTGATTGTTGGCAAATAGAAGCGATAGGCGTGTCTCACTTGCTGGAGAGTATCACTACTGACGTAACTACCTATCCTGGCGTAATTTACATTACTCCTCTTCCGCAGCCGACGCGCTATATGAAATGATAATTTCAGTTGGAATTTCGTCGGCCAAAGTGGAGAAAGCGCGGGAAATCCCATGGGAATTGTGTGTTGATCAATGCATTGGAGTGTGGAAAGTTTTGATTTTCACACTCTATTCCAGAGTGGCGTGCATTGTTAGTTGATGAATGATGCTTACAGACCTCGCAGTCATATCAAGGTTTATTGTTCCCTTTTGCTGGACCCAATGAGACAATGATGTTGTCCGGCTTGGACTGATGAGAGCGAGGTATAACAATCGCAAAGTTTAGCTAGATATTCTAAATTTACGACAGTAGGATCCCATGAACAAATGATGAAAGGTTAGTGTTGCTTTGGTAACTACCATTGATTACACAGTATGGGAGACTTAATGAAAATGATAGATTTCATTGTTTTGCTCGGTTGCTATAGCCACAAACTCCGAATGACTTATAAAGCATTCAACTTCCAAAGCAGTCTTTCAGTTGGAAAGCGCCTTTCTCGGGTAAGCACCTCAAGTATGCATATATATTTATGGGATGTAATAAATGTGGATTGCGTTAAGTGATAACGGAACAATCGAGTAAGTCGAATATGTGGTGAACACTTTTTAACCCATTGGTTGGGTAAACTTTAACTCAACACTAGTATCCTATTCGCTTGGCTTAGTTGATTCACATAATTTTACGTGAGGACCAATGTCATCACAGTTAGACGAATATACCTCATGCAAGCATGAGGGCCAGGATGAGATGAGTGGAAGACATTTCATGTAGATCATACATTAAGGACCTATGCCAGCAAGAAGAACTTGATCGTGGGAACAGATAAATGACAAATGGAAATAAATGGATGACAGTAAGAAAAAGTAAACTGATGACAACATAGTGATACTGAGATATATCAGTGCGCGTGTATTGACACAGACGCACAATGTCTTTTTAAAGCTGTGACACGAGAGATGGATGTGAAATAGCGCAGGCAGACAAGTTCAAGGATTGAGTCCAGCTTTCCGGTTTTCCGCTGTGTTCTCAGCGAGCCTTTGGTCAATGGACCAGTGGATCAGTGGTTTCAAACGGTTAAAAGACCGAATACTTGACAATTTCCGTAAGACGGTTAAGGTGAATATTGGAAGACGAAAACACAATGTCAATAAAAGAACGCACAATCTACGTGACTTAGAAACAGTCATGCGGAGGCACAGATGTGAGTATTCCTGCATAGAGTCCAAGCTGTAGCTGATATAGCCTACTGTGTGTCCAACACAAATGCCATCTTTTGATGGTCACGGGCTATATCACGTACGGTAAATGTGCAAACGTACCGTCAAGTCGTCATTTGAATAGTGAGAAGGAGGAGGGGGAATCGATAACCTGTGCTGGGAGGGAGTTCCAAGATTGTGACACTCTAAGAATAAAGATTTCGTTTACCTTGCAAACTGCACTGTGTGGCCAGTTTATGCTAATGGACCCTCAGATATGTATATGGCAGATTAGATCCGGAAAGCGAATGAAATATTTTCAGATGACACCAAGTTTTCGAAGCCGCTTAATGAGAATGACACGACAAAGAAGGTTGAAAGGCAAATCCGTAACTGTCTCAAAAGATTAGGGATAGTGGCTATCTCAGTGAAAATGCTTTTGAAAATCTACGCCCCACATGCACAGCAATTTGTAGACTGTATGTTATTGCTAAAACGCATAAGCCTGACGTCACTCTACGACCAGTTTTCGATATGAAGAACTCACTGTACCACCCTACTGCACGGTGGTTGGTCGAGTTCCTGGAACCTATTCGAAAACGAGTTGATCTGCACAGCCTTAAGGACAGTTTTTATTTCGTAGTTACCGTGAAGGGAACTAACTGCTTTAAACCGTGCACGATCCCAATGTCACGGATCTACGCATGTGTTCACTCAACGTTACTTCACTGTTCACGGATATGTCGTTGTTTGAAACTATTAATTATATTCGTGAGATGTTGATAAAATCCTGGTAGCTATTGACACACCTAGTTTGGCCCGGTGAACTTTAACATCCAGTTTCTTTTTAACGGTGAATTGTATCGCCAGCACGATGGAGTTGCGATGGGTTATCCTATTTGACCGTTTCTCCTTGATGTGTTCATGGGTATGGTCGAACAACGCAAGTTAAATTCGGTCGTCACAAACCTCAGTCTTTAAGACCGTTGCATCAACGATATCTTGATACTGCTTCATTCCTCTCGAAACATCGAGGATCTTACCAATGAATTCAATCGGGCGCACGAAGAGCTGAAATTTACCTCCGAAGTAGTGGTAAATGGTACTTTTCACTTACTCGACGTTGCAATGAAGCGACGCGAGAGTGGCATGTTACAACGTCACGTGTATAATAGACACATGTGGAATGGCCAACACCTGCATTTCCAGTTTCGTCCCACTGAAATTAAAACGGAACCTGATCCTCAGTCTAATGAGTCGAGCAGAAAGAATTTGTTTGAACAAAATCTTTCCCGAAGAACTGAAGCGCATACGTTCGACGCTGAGAGAAAATGTCTACCCTGACAGTTTTCTGCAAGCTAACATGAGGCAGAAGAAGAAGAATCCCGTAACCTTTACAGTCCAGAGGAAACACATATTTCTCCAACAACCATAAGAGGGAGAATTCGATGACGAAATCGTAACTCGTCGTCTTGCTCACGCTCATAGACACATTTTCCCAGTAGCTAAAGTGCGAATGCAACTCACCGGTAGCCCAATGTTAAGAACTAGCCCCAAAGGCATGAAGCCTGTCCACGCCATATCAATGTCCTTGTGAAGCGGGTTACATTGATCGAACGACCGGGCACCTGTCTAAGAAGATGACGGAATACCATACGACCTGGCTTATGACTGATTGTTTACAACCAACCAGCTCAAACATAGCCACGCATTTCACCTACACTGGCCGTGCAACCAAGTTAGCTGTCATTCAAAGTGACCCATCAGGCACGGAACAATCAGTCAAAGTGTGTCGTAGGTCATCGCTATTCGGCTGTACGAGCCGAGGTTGTGCTTTCCAAAACGGTTCCCTCAAACGTTAAGACTGCCTTGGCCCACTCGAACAGTGACGTGTAGCCCACAGGACCTGCGTGCACACCGCAGTTGTGGCCTAACGGACAGCGATTGTGTTTGATCAGTGATTGTGAACTAAAGGTAATTTAACAACCCAAACGTAGTGTCTACTAGTTTGTTTTTTCACATATAATTGTACAAGCCTGAAGAAGTATTATTGAAATCATGTTCGCTTGCATCGCTTTTCGATCCTTCAGATGTAATTTTGATAAGTTTCAATGGACGGTGTCAATTGTGTTTGGAGTTTTTAATATCTGATACGTCATTGTGAGCTCTTGCGGTAGATGGCGTTAACATCAGCTGTACATTGAGTTTTCAGCTTACATTGACAGGGGACGTGAAACAGAGCTTTGCCATTCTTCATCGTCCTGTGTACTGCATTCTCCGGCACCGCGAGATGCGGTTTCTGCTAGGACTACCATTACTGGATAGCCTATTCTTCGTGCAGCCTCATGCACCACGCTTCGCGGGAAGGATTGAAACGCCGGACCTTTGAAAGCCAACAGCTGTTTTATGCACTGGACAACTGGATTGAGTTTGGTCTGATTTAATAGGTTTTGGAAATGCATTGCATATAGGACCAGAGTTATTCGTATAAGGTCCAAAATGATAGGTTGTACATGTGAGTTGTGACAAGGAATACGTCAAATTTTATGACTGACGACAGATGGTAATCTTCAGAGCATTTATCCTTAAGACGGGTTACACTGGAAAAGGACACTGATACCGACTAATTTAACGTATGCAACCGACAGCACGGCGAAATTCGAGGGTTCAAACCCAGATTGCACGAGAGGACACAAATAAGGCGACCACACTGCATGATACAGGCAGTTATCTAGCTGGTGCCAATGCTTCATTGCTTAGACAAGAGGCCTATTCACCTCAATTATAATTCAGTGAAAAACAATATATCCATCTACGCGGCTTTTCTTGACAAATCCACCCGTTGTGATCCTGCAAAATTGAACAAGTGCTTTTTCATCTCCCCAAGTTTTCAAGGCCAATGAACTATCTGGAGTGTCAGGAAATTCCTTTTATGCTGCTTTATTGCTCGACCAGTATTAGTGTTCTTAAAAGGATTTAATGGTTTAAACTTACATTCAATTCAACAAATTCCTTTAACCGTATTTTTAGGTAGGGCCTTACTTAAGCTTGGTGTTTTATTTTGTTTTAGCGAGAAACCAGTAATTTGGTTGACATCATGCAAAATAGCTGGATATTGCTTTTTGCTCTTGTGATGTGCGTGCCTATTCCGACGATGAGTAACGCAGTTGTAGAGGAACACGTGTCAAAGCAGTGAGTGCAACTTCTGTTTGGTTTCGTTCGTTATGTTTGCGACATCCCAATTTTCGCTAGCTCTGTTGTAAGCACAAATTCAGTGCGTGGGGAACAGAGCTCAAAATCACGAGGCTTGTGTATTATTAGATTTTCTTTTAGTGTGATATGGGTTGTTAAAACAAACCTCTCAAAACTGGATGAAGTTACCGAGAAGAATTGTACATAAGTGAGGACAACGATTTCTTAAACTATGAGCCTTCAAGACAATGTGACTCATGCTTTTTCTGGTTGAGGTGCTGCTCAGAAACCGGGTCACCCCTTACACCATGATAGGCTGCAACCAGACGGTCAAATTAGATCTAACACAGGCATATGGATCGGGTTGACTGTCAACCCACTGAGTTAAAAATTGCAATAATATACACAATGGCATGGAGTCTTATCACATTAGATTCTCTAGGACCACAGAAGAACAAACCAGACAGTTATAATCTTCATAAGCTTAAAAGTAAAGCCAAGCTTTCAGCTGTTGCGTGTTTGCAGCACTGCTCTCTAGGAGCAGTTTCTTACTCCTTCCAATCGTTCAAGAGGGAATGCTTCACTGAAAGTCAGAATCGAGACGCTGAGACAATGAGTCATTGGCCCCACCGCTCCATCACTAAGCCACTGGCCAGATTGGCCGAAATGCAGCTCCAAAAGGAATCGCAGTCCAGATTGCGCGAGTTCTTGTGGCAATTAGTTAACAGATAGTATGGCCTAAAGGTTCCGCTGTATGAATGAAGCATGGTGCGCCAACCAGCTCAGCATTACAGTTTAATTAACATCTGTAATAAAATTAGTTAAATGGTGTTGAAATAGTAAGCTCATCTTCAAAATTCCCCCAGGTCGCGTTAACTACCTTTTTCTTTAGTGATATCGAATCATTGTGTTTGCTTTAATAATTGCTATCACGGTTAGCTAGAAAAAGTCCCTGTGTTCAAACAGAGGGCCATACCCGTCACTGTAAGAAAATGCTGATTTGTGTGCCTTTCAAGAAGTGCCACCAGTTCGTTTCACATGATTCAGTAGATTCTCAAATTAAGAGGTTTTTCTCGCCACATTTGTTTAGCAACTGTATTGAGGTAGCTGCTACAGTTTTGCACCAATATGTTTATCAGAGATGGTGAGCTTCATCCAAAAATGATACAAGTGGTCGTTACTAGCAATGATTGTGTTTAGTTCAAAGTTGCATGCATAAACATGGTCCCTCTCAAGTGTAGCAGCTTATCAGTACCCCGCTTTATTAGGGCGGTAGATGCTCAGAACTCGCGAATTATAACCAAGTGATCCTCCTCTCGGTGATCACGGATGTGATGAAGTGGGTCATTAATGTAACAATAATGAGCTATTTAGAAGACACAACATAATGGCGCTGCAGCAATATGGCTTCCTTCAACACTAGCCATGTACTATAGACCTATTGATTGCTGTTGACAGTTGTGACGAAACAGTAGATAGTTTGACTGAAAAAGACGTCAACTGTCTGAAATCCGTCGGATTCTTCGACCACTTGAATCACCAGATCCTTCTCCACAAGCTTCATTCCTTCATACTTTAGAATCCTGCTAATTGATAAACCGGTAACTTGTGCTTTTCAACGGCATTGCTCATTTTCTACTCCGATTAAGTAGAGTACGGTATTCAAGAAGGATCAATGCTGAGGTCGAGCCAAACGCAAACACTGCTTACGAGGCCAAACAAAATTAGGGTAGACTGATTTACCTTTGTGTTAATATGAAAACCATGTCAAGTCTACAGCTCTCCGGTTCACCTTATTGGCAATGTCTTGTTGCTTTGAACTTACGACTTTCACCCAGACCATCCCTCTGGACATGTCCAACATTACATTCTTTGCCAGTAATTGTACGAATTAATTTGCTCTATTGAAATCGAAATACCTATTTAGCAGATATATACCTTGCCACCTAGTGGTAGGCTACCTTACAACCTTGATTGTTTGAACACCGCGTATTTGCGTATTTAGTTTGCAGTGCCCGAACAACTAACTCCAGACTTGAATACGGATCTAAACCATTTTGACGTACTTTGGGTGTAACGATGTCTACTTTGGAGGCACATATCAAACGGGAAACACCATTTTATGTTCGTGTTGATAACAGGGACAACATATGCCAGTTAACTAACGTATTAGTCTAGCTGTACTTTACAGAAATGGGCTACGAAAATCGCCCCATACTAAAAAGCTCTGGAGCGCATGTGACCGGATGAAGTGAATACGGCCACAAACAGTACCCCAAACCATGCTACCTTTTCCCAATTAATAGTATAATAAGTTCAGTGAAATGTAATAACTACAGAGCCAGCCAATGGGTTCACCGAAATCGTACCTTAAGCAAGGACCACAAGCTGAACACACCTCGAAATGAGTTCTGGCCCCACTGTAATAGGAGTGACACAAGGAGTGACACACAAGCACAAACAGTACATTTCGGATTCCATAGTATTTTTCTGAGCACTAAGTGAGTATTACTAGTAGACTCCGTGGGGTTGGGTGCTGTATACTCTGACAGTAGAGGAATCAGGACCTTGGGATTAAGGTCTGATAACCATCTGATCACTGTTGTAAAGCCCTATCAGGAAATTTTTATTCAGCTTAGACAGCTTAGAAACCACTTTAAACTGCGTTGCTTAATCTGAGTAGCAAAGTAAATATGCGCATAGCTATCTACTTGCTTAACTTTAGATTCAAATGTGCTTTTATCATCTATTTCAGGATTTCATCAGGTACGCAGGCGACTCTAGAGGTGCAGGATAACCAAACACACACACTGGCGGAGAAGGTAACATTACCGGTAACCAGCAAGACAGCTACTTCGACGGTGCGTGTAAGGGCAACTGGAATAGTTGTAGATTGCTTTAAACCTAGAGGAACAGTATCCGTTCGGACTTGCTTCATGCTAACACATAAAATCCCTTGAATTGTGTAGATTCTTGTACAAAAAGAGTGATTTATAAAATTACCCTACCCACTTAGTTTACAGCCAACCATATAGAAAATAACCGATGTCTTAAATTTGCATTTGACTGGGAGCAGGAAATATGGTTTCTACTAACGTTTTGGCTCCACTTCAGCTATGAGAAGCAAGGAGTGACCACGCTGAATATGTAAAGGTTAGGTCCATACGCATTACCAGTTTTTGTTCTCCCAGTATTCTTTGTGCATGACCTAGCGATGAGTTGCATCCCTCGCCATCAACTCAGAACTCAGTATCACAACTGTTGTAGTGGGATACTTTATTTACCCCCACGTATACTGTGATACTTGGTTGAATGGACTCTGCTTTCGCCTACACTTAGATGGGCAAATCTGTATTCCGATCAAAACCATCTTCATCCAGCGCTGACTGTACGACGAGCAAAGGCGAGACTACGTGTTCTCTCAACGATGCGATCGTGGCCTTGAGACAGCTGGTTGCGATATCGACCAAACTTAGTCCAGAATATCCAGCTGCTGGTATGATACCAAGACAGCGGTTTACCATTCAGTATTTCTTGAAAGAACTGAATTCAACTAACGGTTTTGATACATTGTTACCGACAAGTATTTTCCGTCAGGCTGCCGCGTAATTAGGATATTAACTAGGGTATTAACGAAGATGAGTCTGGTTGATTCTTGATACATAGTACCGACATGTCGCATCTAGTGTTGTGTAATTTAGTCCGTGTTAACGTCTACGACTTGTGGCTTTTTGATATACATTAAAGCGCACTTTCATTGCTTTTATCGTCTGTTCTCCTATGTTTTTCCTTGGTGTACAGACACATTGTGATCCCGAGTCCCCTGACGGTGAGTTACTCTGTTTGAACATCGTTGTTGTTGCCATTTCATAAGCCAGCTTTAATACGTTTTCATATTTTCCCGTTGCTCAAAGGTAAATCGCGTCATTTTCTTTTGAACCCAATTTTTAAATGAAGACGTATGATTTGCGTGTAACAACCAACCTCACTTGAAACCGCACTCAAGCACAACACATTACAGTCATGTTATCAAGTGTAGTCGTGTAGCCAGATTACTGCATTGACAGAGGCGTTCGTGTAGCAATACTAGGATAATTCGGTAATGTTAAGTCCAGTATTCTTCATTAAACTTTTGTATGTGTCGTGTTCAAAAACTTCGCTTTTTTTCTTCCCTCGATTCGCTTATCCTACTCACATTGCTATACTGCACTCCTTGGCCTATCATGTGAACTTTGCATTTGATTGGTGGCATTGCGAAGCGTCATCGATTTAATTGTACTGCGCATGTGTGCGGACAGTTTCCTCCATACATACGTTCCGGTGCTGCACTGGTCTGCTGCTTTTTCGGGATACAACAATATGGAAACCTGACTATTAAGGAAGCATAGTTTTGAAAAGCGATGCACCACTAACTTTTCCACCGGTATTTCACCTCTACGCCACTTGGTCCCCTGTCACGATCTCGTAATGAGGAAATGCCGTCAGGTCTTGTCAACTCAACGAAACTTCTGTAGTGTTACGTAAAACAATATACACAAATAGGAAATTACCTAAAGATGAAAGAACTGGACATTTTTAGCCGGACAATGGTGCTATACATACCATAGTTTTATGCATTTACCACCAAAGGTAAATCCCCGTGTCCATCTGCTATCATTTGTTAAGCGAGTAATTACACTGAGGTATTAACGAATTCCGACTGTTCATTCACATCGAACACATAATTGCACTATTCGTCCCGTTTGATAAATACAAGCAACAGTAATTTGATTTTTACGCTACATTTGGTATGGGCATTTATAGTATCATGGTTTGAGAAGACGACTGTTCAAGCGAAACATTTCGCTTAACCGTTAAGCAGTACTTAAGAGACAGAACGAACCATATGTATCGGCCACTTGTTAATTCGTCACTTTGCGTTGCATAGATTGCCAAATTTTTCAGCAATTGTGAACAATTTTTTAAATTTCCAGTTGACCAGTGTGTGTCAGAAAATGATGAGACCAGAATGAATATCAGTCGGACCACTACAGCAACCAACACTACTTGGGTAGAGGAGTTCACCCAGAAACCTTAGGAGCGGTCAGACGGAAAGTTGCAAGGAGAATTCGGTTTCACGTATAGTCACAATAAATAACCACGTAACTTGTTATATGTAATAAACCCCATGTTCTTATTACTAACTGAATGTGTTATGCCATGTTGTTTATGCTATTGTCTGGCTTTGACTTATATGTGAACCATACCGTACGGTGTCCCGAGCTCAGCTTGATGTTCTTATTGAAGAAGGACATTTTTGCTTTCATGATGACCACTGCCCACTACACCACTGTTTGGTTTTAATAAAACATCCGTAACTGTGGTGGTGCTTCATATTCCTTCCTCTTCGCTTTCACTGCTAAACTAGCTTTTCGCACGAGGGAAGTCTGTGCAATGCTCAGATCTAGCTGCGAACATTTTGAACATAGAGAGGTGTCTGTTCGTGGTTTATTGTTAGGGGAATATTTATGGGATCATGCAGAAGTATATTTGCCAAAAGCGCTATATTGTCATCTCTGATGAAAATTCCAGACTTGTCTTTTGATCGGTTTACCTCACCTAAGGTCTTCTGGTAATTTTCGCTTTAATAAACTCCGGTTACATAGATCGCCTGTGTGAACTTGTGTCACGATTTTGACCTACTCCCGACCGTCTTTCGTCGGTCTTTCTATGTGAGAAATGCAGGTATATATTCGAATGTGGAGGCTGGGCCGGTCGGACTAGTGTTTCGAATTCTAGTTTAATCAGTAGCGTGAATGATTAGGCAAAAATGAAGTCATTTAAATGTGATATAGTTTTATGATTAAAAAAGCAAGTTGCATCCGGGGAGATAAAATTTTCAGGTACAAGTGATATGCTATTTTAGGGTTGTTTTCCAACCTTTCGAAGACCAAACACTGCACATCACCAGCCTCATTGCGATCATCACATAACTCTTGGATAAAATTTTAACTCAACAAATTTTCTGTAGTAGGAACCACACTGATTAATTAGCCTCCTGAACGACCGAATTATAAGCCCCCAAAAATGTGACGATTTTCTAATGGCTAACAGGAACTTTTCAGTGTCAGATGGTGCAACCTGATCAAAGCTGCAATCACATTTAAACTTTATTTCGGTTAGTAAATAACCTGAGGACAAATGTTACTCACAATGCCATTGTCTGAACTTTGAGTTGCAAGGCAACGGCGTCAACTACCAGAAATGAAGATCCCCGAGGGAAGATGCAGCTTAGCACTGAGTAGATTGTTACTAGTCAGATTATCAGGCTTAAGTTAAAACGGAGCATGCAAAGCCGAAAATTATCCCACTGAACTTTGGAAGTTTAGGAAACTGAACAGTAGGTAGCAATGAGCGTGTTTCAAAATCCTACGATCAATCCAGACTACTGACGCAAGAAAGGCAGCAGTGATGACCAGTAAAGGCATCAGTATCTTTATACACAATCAAGGCAATGTAAGCCAATTTCTTTCAATAGTGATTTTGAGGATGATGAGCAGATTGCGATGGTATGAATTGCGGACTTGATTCTTCCGTGTTTGTTAACACACCTGATTGAGGATATTCGCCGCAGTTGCCGCCCCTCATCGCGACCAAGAAACTTAACCACATGCCTGTGGCGGCAGTAGGGTCACGGGAGACTTGAACTGCAATAAACGCAGCTCCAGTTGCATGTCTGCTTCCACTGCGAACCAGGTAGACCAGTGCAGGTAACAACGACTGGTGCGCAGCTAATCCACAGAAAATCAACATACCTAGCATTCCGCGTTTCTTTCCAAGGCACAAATTACTCGTCAAACCAAATTTGATTTCTCGGCTTGATTTGCGCAACTGCGTGCACATTCAGAATGAGTGTGGTCATATCAAGCTTGTTGTCCTATTATTTCAAACGCATTAGTGAGGTTTCCGTCATCCATAGTATGGCAACGGCTAGTAGCATTTTATTGAACAATGTAAGTTTCGCGAAGTCCTAAATAACACAGATATATCATATTGACTTAGGTAGCCTATTCAAACTGATGACAATGCAGGAGAGAGATGAAGTTGGTGTATAGTGCAAATGCTCCTGGGTTATTCTAACGGCTTCGTGCGTCGTCACTACCAGGTGGATCAATTGCTTTTGTAAGTATATGGTAAAACCAAATAATTTGCTCAAGCACTGCTGTTGCTGCACAAACACGCTAGGAATCAACCGAACTGCTACGAGATACTTGCTCCCTCGTTACTTCTCACTCTGAAAATGTAACTGTCAAAAACTGAAACACCTGCGGCAACTACAGATGCGAACAACCCACAGAATGCAAAAACTCCCCAATGATCATGCCGCTTTGGTAGTGATGGCTGTTACACGAATCGAAAAACGCTAACACGTGACTTTGGTTGCTGCGAGATGTACAAATCGCAGGGCCACTGCTAAATGCGTCTTGGAAGTTACCAGTAGTACCAGACACCTCGTCTCCAGCAGACTTGAGGAACAGGAGAAACTGTGGAGCTCTGAAAGCTGCGTGCGTCAAGATTCCTGGGCCCATAAACAATTTATTAAGAGGCAAACGTTGGGGCGATCTGGGCCAGTGGAACGCATCTCGTGTGCAAATTGATGATCAGGTTAAATCCACTGGCATAATGCGCATTACTGGACGTCGGAGGTGTAAAAAGGGGGCGGGCGGTCCGCTTCTGACGGCATTTGGCAGGGGCGGTAATTTACTACAGTTGTTTGTTGGACATCAAGTGTAAACGGCGAACTTTCCACAGCAGCCGATAGTTGAATATTCTATAATTGCTATTGTGTCAAGAACGACGCGGCAATGAAGCACAATCTTCAGTACCGCGATCAAAAGTTAATACCCACTCACGCAGGCGCACGTAAATGAGTCACGTTTCCTTCCCAAGACGCACCACCTCTCCTGGCTTCCGCTCGCGACGCATCCATGCATTTGGGGGACCCCGTAATGTAGTATGTGCTGTCCATTTCTCCCACGTATCTCCACTTCTACGCGTTACATTCTGATCGGCCCAGAGTCGTTCGATAGCACGTGATTAGCTTGACGGCAGATGCATCATCCTGCTTGGGTTCGGTGCGGGAGGCTACAGGAACGGTGCTTTTGTCTGAGTTACTGTGTTTTCGACGAATACCCTCTCTGTGCTGCGTGACTCAGACTCAGTACCGTACGCCGCTCGTGCCCCGTTCTCGTCTCGTTCCGTCAGGTTAGTGTTGCTCCATCTGCCCTCCCTCATTGCGCCTGTCCACCTTTCCGTCCGCCCCCGTTTACGTGGTTTTCTGTCCTCCGGGTAACCACTGCCTTCCACCTCCCTACACTATTGTTAAACAGAAAACACATCTGTGCATCTGTCACGTCTGCGTGTCGTCTGTTCCATCTCACTTTTGCACACAGCTTTTGTACACATAGTCCCCGATTATAGTTACCCGTGTACGTAATGTATTGTCCCCCATAAGGCATTGTACAGCGATCCTGCCATTGCATGGGATCCATGGTTTAATGTCATGAGTCTGTGAGCATTTTGACAACACATGTGAGAACGAAATCATAGATTAGGTCAAAAACAGCAAGTATATTTGCTTAACTTTTTGTGGACTCCCGATGTATCTCACAGTAATCGGATGAGTGAGGTGTCACGCTACGTAAAAATGCATCAAAATGAAGTGAAGTTTGGGAAGTTATTTTGCCGGTTCATGGAGACCAACAGCAAGAGCGCAGAGGAAAGGTTTGACTACTTTTGAGAGCACTAGAGAAGCAGGGGATTCAGTTTGAAGACTGTCATGGCCAGGTAGTTAACAATGCCGCTGTTCTGGAGCGCTACCGAACTGGTGTCAAGAGACCCATCTGCGAAACTGACCCAAAAGCTACATTTGTGCCAAGCAATAACCTTTCACTGAAGCTGGCTTATGCACATGCAGCTTCTTCTGCGGTTCAGTCTGTTACATTCATGGTACAATGACCCGGTGTTTCTCGCTCTTTTCTACATTTACATATTGTTGGAATGTCTTGATTCAGATGGTAGGTTTAGGTATTAAGCGGCTGTGCATCTTAAATTTTCATCTCGGTGCTGTCACTTCCAGTTGTTTTGCTTCTGAGCCTTTGGAGATCTGTTCTGCCGGAAAGCAGTGTTGCACAGATGCCACTTCAAACAAAAGAGCTGGATCTGCAGCAGAGTTCTGTCAAGATGATGGTGTTCAGAGTTCGCTTTCCTCCGGATGTAGATACTGTGTAGTGAAATTTATTTAATCAAAAACTGCTCTGAAATGTGGATACGCATGGAGGGTTGAATATGCCAAAAATGAACGGATGGTAAAATTTGTTCCATCCATCGATGGGATTTGATGCTCAGTGGAAACGGAAAATGCTGTTTATCATAGACAGCTTGAGTGAGGAAATACGACATAGATTTCAGCAAATTCAACGCTTTGTAAACAAATATGTTTTTGTACACCGTCATATCTGCTTGATGATAAGTTTGGTTATGTCATTAGCGAAGTTGAGGCAGATATAGCAACAGAGGAATTCTTTGCAGAGAGGGGAAATTTTAGTAGTGTGTAAAAGCATCCGAAAATGACAAAATCAATGGACACTTGGAACTTTTGTGCTTCATACAGAAACATCACCCTGGGGAATCTGCACCGAATAATGTGCTCTTTTTCTGCACCATTCTTATCCCAGCCATTAGCATTGCCAGCTGTGAGCGTTTTTCTGAAAACTCAAGCCTATAAAAAGCACCTTCGATCAGCAATGAGACTAGGCAAGATGCACGGACTTAACAGTCTTCCACATAAATTGCTAACTTACCAATTGCATGTATTTTCATTGTGGCATATATGCTTTTACCGCAAGTAAAGGGTGAAAGTGTGTTTGCAAAGTTTTTACTCGGGTATTGTATCCATACACATAAAAGCACTTACACCAACACCAGTGGCGTAGAATGGTGGGGGGCGGTCCATTTTAGCACCGTCGATTTATCGATACCAAATATAAGGGTCCAAATATCCGGATAAGCTGACAGCTGAATATTTTAATGTTAATTTGTATGACCAACAACAAATGTGCGCACTGTGTCCTACATGTGCGAACGTTCTTACCAGCGATCCCCCGCTGTGGTCACTGTCACCACAGGCACCTCAGTGTCCCAAACGGCTATCCATTTCAACAAAAACTAATGCGTACCTTACCATGAACAAATTGTGTCTGTTCTGCCCTCACTCAGGACGAAAATTATGCCAACACCCAGGACGACAACATTAGTTGATACGTCACTGACCAGCCCCC